TCTCCCAAGGATTCATCTGTGTGACTTTGTATGATCTTCTTAAAATGTAGCTTTTTGCATTTTTCTGCAAATCCTGGACCACCGTTCAATTTCATACAATCTACTTTTGTACCATGTGGACAGAATTCCATAACTTGAGCTCCTCCCTGAGAGCGAAATCGTTCCGCCAGTGATTTCTCTTTGGAAGTCTGCTTTGACAGTAAATCCAGGATCTGTTCACCGACCTTCTTGCTCTCCTTTTCTCGAATTGTCGGCATCGAAATTAGAGACATGATATCCTCGGTATTTTTCTTGTCCACTTTCGCTTGTTTCTCTGGAGGCACATGGTCATTTAATTCAGACATAGACATCTCTATACTTTCGGTGTTCTCTGTATCATCAGACTGAGACTGACACGATGATTGAGATTCTGTTACCGACAATACTGTATATCCAAATACTCCATTTTCTGTGACTTCTTTGATCCTAAAAATATGCATAAAGTATTTCTTATATATTAAATGTATCATGCACTAATAAAATAGTATCATAGAATGTTATGTGGTTCTCATTATACTAACTTGACGATATCTTGTGCAGCTAGCTTCTCCAGAATTTTGTGGATATCTGAAGAAGACACATCAGCATTGAGGTTTTTACGTAGCTGGTCTATCAAGTCTGCGGATGTTATCGGTAAATTAGGCAAGGATTCGTGCAAGATACAAAGTACGTCCCTTTCATACTCGCTGTGATCTGAACGTGAAGATGCATTAGAATCTGTAACCGGTATATACATTAAAATTGAGAACAAATTCTTTCTCATTACACGTAACAAATGTTAACGCTAATGTAATCTCAACAATATACACTTATTACCAGGACACGCCGACTCCGCTGTCAGGGTGGATGAAACCGGCGTAGAAGTGAGAGTATACAATTCATGTCTTTCACGTTTCCTCTTCTGTAATTTCTCACGATAACTGTTTCTCTTTATCTTAATTGCTTGTATCTCTTCAAAAGCATCCGACATAGTTCCAGTAGATTGTGCGTAAAAATACAATTTTTGATATATGAAAAAAGCGGCTAAGTGTCAAATGAGGCATTTAAGTAATCAAGTTGAGCTACCTCATGTCCGATACTAACAAAATTAGACTCATTCGTCGCGTTTTTGCACAAAATAATCAAATCCGATAGAAAAGTTTCATCGTCTTGTAAAACGAGATATTAATCGTTAAAATTGGTGATTATTTAGGTTAGTTTAGTAAATATTGTCCAACGAAAATCGGCAACATGAGCATCTGAGCTTCTGAGCATGCTCTGTGACAACATGCGCATTGCGCATGCGTCGTCATGTTTGAAATGCGCACGAAATACAGCTTGAATTTATTTTCGAAATAGATAATATGATATTTTGAGAAAAATAAACAAATGAACAATATATTTAACACAATACAATTTTTCTTTTTTATTTTATAAAATACAATTTCTCATTCTCATATCAGTTTCTATATTTAAATAACTTCGTGTTGGTGCTTAATTGAGGCTCATTTTAGCGTCAAAATAAGCTATGTGATTATACAAAATTTAAGTAATAACAATATAATTAACAAACTTATGCCGGTGTTCTCTCAATTGGTTCTTTATATTTTTAAAATCTAAGTAATATTTTTTTAAAATACTAGTACTGCAGCCTTCTGATTGATTCGATTATAAATATATTTATAATCGAATCAATCAGAAGGAAAAAAAAGAATGTAAATAAGTACTTATTTACATTATTTTTAAATTTAAAGTTCTAAATTCTAAATATAATTGCCGCTAATTAATTACAAAAATATATCGTCCTGAATATATGTTAAAATTTTGAAATTTTTATTTTAAATTAAATTAGATATAATAATATTAAACAATATTTAATACAATTTACAATTTTTTTTATTTTAAAATAAATATTTACGTTCAGTATAATATACTAAAATTATTCCAAAAAGTTTTCTTTTAAAATAGTTTCTGTTAAATCAATGTAACACTAATTCACAATTATTATCTATAATGCTATGATATAATATACAATAACTGTAATTGAATCTACAATTTGTATTTTTTTTAAAAACATACACTTTCTAGTATGGTAAATTCTTTTACTTATATAAAACGAACAAAAAATAAAAAATATTGAAAACACTTTTTGTTGAATTTAATACGAGGTGTGTACAAAACGTGCACTCGGTTCACCAAAAATCCAAATTAAATTATTCTGTAACAGGAATGTGGTCACCCTCGAAATACTCTCTCCTTGGCAGAATGCACTTGATCCAACGCTTCTTCCATTCCTAAAAGCAGTGCTATCTATAACGTCTTCCTAGCTTTGGCAGTCCCTTTAGGAACTTTGTCGTTTCTCGTTTTATGGTATCAACATCCACAATTAAAACCCCGCATAATATTTTTTACTTTAAGGAACAGGTAGAAGTCACAGGGTGCTATATTAGGTGAATAGGGAGAGTAAAAGTAAAGTGTAAAAGTAATCCCAGGTGTACATATTTATTTAAATTAATAAAATTGACATTTTTACATATATGTGTGTATATAAACATATTTAGTTTATTTGATATATTGTATACGTTTAGAATTGAAATATGGTTTTCTGTAATAAAAAGATCACATATTATATGTTTTCCTCCAAATGTAAGATATTAAGTAGAATATTATATAAAATAAGTAATTGACATATATGTCCGCGTGTATTCATGAACATTTGATTGAGTCTTCGCGCGCATATATACAATATACGTTTGCAAAATATCTTAAATAAAATATTAAAAGCTATCTATTATTTTTAAAAGTACGCTTTTACTAATAAAAAGGTTCCCCACGAAAGCTGTAATGCTTGAATTAACGGAGATATAATGTACAAGCACGAAAAATTTTAAAATTTTATAAAAATATATATTGCATATTGCAAATTACATAATTTTTTTTAAAAAAGTATATTTTCTTTACATTAATTCATTCATCTCGTAATTTTATGCACGAAAATATTAAGCTATGATTATTCTGTAATGGAGAATGGATTGAAAGATTCAGATTTTCAGAACGTATTCGCGAACATTAAAATAAATTTTATTTAATATAAAATATACATTTTTGTCTCATAATCTAAACATAATATCAACTTTATTTGCTATGCATCATGAATACTGTTTAATTCAAAATTCTAAATAAGAAATGCAATTTTTCAATCCAATTAAATTCAATTAAATCACAAAAAAGTGTTCACTATTTAAAATATGTACTCGGATAAATAAAATTTTAATTGTTTACTAAATATAAAAAAAATTAATAGTAAACAAGATATTTTACATTTTATATCAAATTATGACAAAATACAGTATAAAATATTTTATAAATTATTGTAATTTTTTACAATTTCTATCTTAATACTTTTGTATATAAAATAACTAGAAAAATCATATTATGTTTAAAAAATTATATAAATTTATTTAAAAAAAAAAGATTTTAGACAATTATATGGGAAACCGATTTCTTGATAGAAAACTGATTTTATCATTATTTTTCCTCATTCAAACCAAACAATTTTTGTTTAAAATATTTTTCGCTTTGACGCGTATTTCTAGGAATAATAATCATCTATTACTTATTAAGTCCTATATAAGTATCTATGTGTAGATATGTATTTATGTGTGTATATGATTATTGTATATACACGTATTAAAATGTAAGCATGTATTCCGGTAAATAAGAATGAATTAAAATGTAAGCATGTGTTCTAGTAAACGAAAATAGACTAAAAGAACTGACTTTATTTCTCCAGATGCGTATTTTAAATAACAAAAACTGTTTTTAGATTCAATGGAATTTAATTGAATGAAAAACTACATTTCCTACACAAAATATTGAAAAAAGTACTTACGAGGCACGGAAAAAAAACTAATTTTATTTTGAGATTGAAAGGTATAGAAATGTGCTTCATTCAGTGTAAGCTTCATTTGTATATATAAAATAAAAATGCATTTAGATTAAAAAAATGTATTTCAACGAGTTCATATTTTGGAAAATCTGAATCTATTTCTATTTCAATTCATTCCTGTTTTCTGGGATACACACGTATTCAAATATTTGCGAACATATGTCTACATACTCATTGTACGTAAAAGAAGGCATCAAATTATCTAGAAATTTGATAAACATTTAAATTCTGTATCTTTAGAACTTCATTTGATTATCTTTTGAATATCTGCGGCAATGGAGACATTATTACTGCTTTGATTACGTCGTAACTCAAAATGGATTGAATCATTTGATTGAGACGAAGTTATTATTTTATTCCAAATGTGTGACCCTAACAAATTTTACACATTATTCTAATTACATTTATTACACATATCTCTCTCTCTATTTATTAAAGAGTCGATTTAAAAGTCGATACTGAAGAACAATACACAATTTTGTAGGTTTTTAGTAACCACGTTCTATCGTTATTAAAAATAAAAGAAGTACATGCATATTTTACTTTCAATTTTTATGTTAAAATTGTATTAATACTTAATCTTCTTATTCTAGTTTATATTTACTATAGTCAATACCCTACGAGTTCCCAGATACCAATTATAACGTGTCTGTCTTTTTGTTGGCTGAATACATTGCATCGTTAATCCAGACAACAAAAACCGAGATATAATAAGTCATCGTATAACAATCGAGTTATAAGACATCTTTTTAAAAAATATTTTTAAGATCTATTATATCTTCTTTTTGGACACGCATGTTGTCTGTGAAACGTATTGCTACGAGAATTTCAAAAATTGAATCCGTAACTTTGTTAGCAACTTGTAAAGAAAAAAAAAATCTTAAAAGCGTCATCATCAAAATTTGTATCATTTATATTGTCATAATATAATATGCAGAATATAATGCTATGTTATATTGCCAATAATACAAAGTATTGTGATGCAACTATTTTGCTATTAAACTGTTAATTGACAACTCATATATACACGTTATTATGTCCAACGTATTGGTGCAATAATGTCGGTATATTCGTAATCGTCGAAGACAAATCTATGGCATGTTATTTCATGAAGAAGCGGATCCCACGGCCCGAGGATCGCCATGGCTGATTGTGATCCGTCTTGAATCTTGGCTTGCTAAGATTCGTCATTATAGAATTTGTTTTGAAATTGATATAAAAATGCTAAAATCACGGTTGCGTATAGGCTCGCAGAGAAGAGGTTTCTTTAAATTAAACAAAATGCATTGGAATAATCTAATTAAATGGAAGTTTAAATTAAGAATGTGATTACTTTCATTAAAATTATAAAATGTTTTTGACTAAACAAAATATGTTTAATTAACAATTAAATTTGTTTCAGTGAGAAACAAATGTTAATAGAACTCACGAGTCCAAATTCCTTTTTCTTTGTGCTTTTCAAGTTATGGCGATTACATCGAGTAATGTCGAGTCGTGGAACTCCACTTTAAGCAATCACAGATTTGTACGATTATTATGTTGAGACACGCTTTGCTATCTGGGTTATATCATTTATATAGTATTATATAGTATTATTTATTATAGTTTTACAACTATAATAAATAAAAAAATATTTAGCATAACCTGTATAAATTATTTGTCATAAGAAAATTAATTAATCCTATTGCATAATATACACTCGTAGAGTACGTTCAACAACCATCCGACAGACGCGGCATTCTGTTACATTTTGTGCACATTGTTCACATGCTATTAAATGTTTACATGGCAAAAATAATACTTCCAGGTCTTTCCCAAAGCAAATTTTACATAAACTTTTATACTCGACGGATACTTTTAAATTGTTTGAGTTTAAAAACCTTTTGACGATATTCTCACATAAATTTTTATCTTCTACGGATACTTTTAAATCGGTTAAGTTTGAAAAGCTTTTGGCAACATCCTCACATAGTTTCTGAAATTCTTCAAACAATTTGATTGGAGGTGGGATACTTTTCTAAAAAATAAAACATTTTATGATTGATTATTATTATATTATTTCATTTAGAACAATTAATATTTCATATTTTTTAAAATTTATTACGAATCTTTTAGATTCAATAAAAATATTCATTACAAATATATAAATTGTATAATTTTAATGACAATAAATATATTTTATTAAATGCTTACATGAATTAAACACATATAAGAACAATCTTCGAAAAATATCATATGTTCTATTAAAGGATCATCATTTGGCTCCCACGCCTCAAATCGTACACCGCACTGATGGCAGATTACTTTATCTTTTATTCCCTTATAAAACAAACCAGAAACTGCCATTTTTTCTATATTATGTGTCTTTGTTAGAGGCCAGTTGGCAAAAGATTTTAATCTGGCAACATAACTCCTATATTCTGGATATAACGATGGCGGGATTTCTGCTCGATCTTCATTGTTCAAACAAAGCTCAAGTGTAGCTTCCGGCACAAATATCGTAATTGCTTTAGGATTCGTATCGATCGGTACATTACCACACTGGATATTCTGAACAAATCTACAAGTTTTTGCACCTCGTTGGTGCACATTCTTCGGACTGTCTCCTGCCGCATTCCACTGACTTATTTCTAGATGACATTCGAAGCATCTGACGACGTCGCTCGTGCCTGTATAGTAGAATCCAGCCGCGGCGAAATCTGTTGGCTGTATCCATAGACGAGGAAAAGGCCAGTCTATGGCGAAGCTGTTCAAACGTTCAGACTCATATCGATAAACGGACATCTTTATGTGATATTAGATAAAATCAAATTTTTCGCTGTAAAGAAAAAAATGATAGAAATTTTATATTAATTATACTTTATTCATATCAATTATTTCAATCTCTCTCTCTCTCTCCCTCTCTCTCTCTCTCTCTCCCTCTCTTCTACCCTTTTGTACATATGTGTATGAGAGACAGAGAGGGGGGGTCATGTTAACCACGTGGTCTTTGAAACAATATACTGGAGTTCGAAGATACTGCAATAAGTATCATTTTTTAATCTTCGTTTAATCCTTATTATTATTTAACATTTGGTGAACAATAAGGATAAAATACGCGATATTCGAAAGCACTCGGGTAGCATATTCAAAGTCAATCAGATTTCGTTTAATGTGTATTAAACTTGATTTTTCTAGAAAAAAAGAAAAAAGACAATTGTTCACATCAAAATCTATCGATATGACCCATTTTCAGTAATATGATCTATGTAATGTTTAATATTATTAAATTTTTTGAAAATATACACGGATATATTCACGAACGCAATAACTATTATGTAATGTAACGAAAAGGACACTACAATAGACAACTTAAAATTTTTGTCCCCTTTTTCACACTATGTTTATTATACAACATATTTATATATGATATATAAAAATGTATTATATCTACACTAGTTTATATTATGCAATTTTGAATAACGGTAAACAAGTTATTCACTTTAACATGACAATTTTCACACTCAGATGATAATCTGCTTATAATTGCCGAAACTGACGAGAGAATGATCTTGAGCACAGGTACAGTATTACCCTAAAGATTAGGGTTTTTATAAGCAGAAATCTTCGAAATTGGACACTATACACTTTAGAATCTGCTTAAAGCAGAATGAGATAGATGCATGATCTATCTCATTCTATCTCTTTTAAGCAGGAAAATATGATGGAGCCAATTATATATTTAGTATTTAACAAATCGATATACAGACACTTACTTTAGGATCTCTAGGTGCTTAAATCCTCTTGCGGAGTCTTGTGTCTCGAACCTTCGCATTCCATCAATTTGTCACAGTTTTTACGGTCAAAATGTCAAATGGCTGTCTGTTATGATTGTGATAAGTCTTGTCATTACCTTTTATTTTCAAACTGTAACAGTTAATTCCCAGTAACCAAGACCGAATGTGAAATAGATTTAAATGGATTTAGATGTTCACATGTATACACATTTGCGAACGTTAAAATTAATTCTTTTCAATTCCAATATATTTTTATTTAATTAGGTAAAGTGATTCCATGATCCGGCACCTTCTATGCTTTTCAATATAAAAAAAGAGTTCAATTTTTTAAGCACACCATAAATATTGCTTTATTCAAAATTCTGAATAATAATTGCAGCCGTTTCTGCATAGAACACAAACTAAGTTGTAACATATAATTAGAGGAATGTACCGGATATCCGAGAAATATCCGAATTGTGCAGTATTTTTTTATTATCTATCGGACAGTCCGATATCATTAATACCTGGCGATACCAGTCAGATATATTACAGAATGATATCCGACTATCCGACCGGATAATAAAAATTACTGGATAATTAATAATGACCGCATTAGAAATCAGATCTTTTAGAAATTTTAGAATATTTCAGAATTTAGGAAAGCCCCCTATTATGAGATAGGCGCCTAATATGAGATAGCGACGTTTCTGCTAAATTAATAAATGCTATCCGTTGATTTTACCATAAAATTATTGCTCTTGGATTGAAAACTATTTAGTGGAAAATTCATTGTTACATCATGCCTACAGTAATAAATTTTTAGAATTTGAATGTATTCAAGTTTCATTATGCGATAAGCCTTTAATCTTTGTTTATTATTTTATAAGTAATTATTTGGCAATAAATTCTTCATGTAGTAATAGAGTAAGATTGTACTGATAGAAAATACTGATAGAATATGTTGAATTGTGTGTGTGTGTGTGTGTGTGTGTGTGTTTAATTAAAGAAGTTAGATTTGAAGATTGTAAAACTGTAAGACGTGATACTCGTAATATGAGATAGCCAGGATATTTCTAATATAAAATAATCTATACTTCTGTGTCCAAGTGAAAATCGATGCTAAAGTATAAATGTTATTGTACAGTAATAAAAAGAATAACCGAAATGAACATTGAGGGTCTGTTACTGCAATACTTCGTTCCAATTACTGAAGACAAATCCTGCGAGTACAATGCATCACATGCTCAATTTACGCGCACAGGCTGTACTCGTTTGTATTTTAGAAACATCAAATAAAGTTTTTTTAATTCTAATACTGATGTACTTTGTGCTTTATTATCGATTTCTCGGGGTATCTCACATTAGGAGCAAAATTTTTTGACTTTGCGATTTGCTCACCTTTTACATTTCTTTAAATAAAAAATAAAATAAAATTTGAATTAATTTTTACATAACACTATCTTAAAGCTTATTAAATTCTCTTCAAAATGACCTATCGCTTTTTAAATTCTGCCTACAAAATTCTTGCATTTACTTAAAGTAAACTTAGTATCTCATAATTGGGGCCTTTCCTATATGTATAAATATATATAGCTTATTTGATATATTGTATACGTTTAGAATTGAAATATGGTCTTCTGTAATAAAAATATCACATATTATATGTTTTACTCCAAATGTAAGATATTAAGTACATATACTATATAACATATGTAATTGACATATATGTCCGCGTTTATTCATAAACATTTGATTGAGCCTTTGCGCGCATATATACAACATACGTTTGCAAAATATCTTAAATAAAATATTAAAAGCTTATATTATGTTTTCAAAGTACGCTTTTAGTAATAAAAAATGTTCCCAATAAAAGTTGTAATGTTTGAATTAAGGGAGATATAATGTAAGCACGAAAAATTTTAAAATTTAATAAAAATATATATTACATATTGCAAATTACATAATTTTTTAAAGAAATTATATTTTTTTACATTAATTCATTCATCTCGTAATTTTATGCACGAAAATATTAAGCTATGATTATTCTGTAATGAAGAATGGATTGAAAGATTCAGATTTTCAGAACGTATTCGCGAACATTAAAATAAATCTTGCTTAATGTAAAATGTACATTTTTGTCTCATAATCTAAACATAATATCAGCTTTGTTATGCACCATCAATACTGTTTAATTCAAAATTCTAAATAAGGAATGCAATTTTTCAATTCAATTAAATTCAATTGAATCACAAAAAAGTGTTCACTATTTGAAATATGTATTAGTATAAATAAAATTTCAATGGTTTACTGAATATCAAAAAATAAATAATAAACAAGATATTTTACATTTTATGTCAAATTACGACAAAATACAGTATAAAATATTTTATAAATTATTACAATTTTTTACCATTTCTATCTTAATACTTTTGTATATAAAATAACTAGAAAAATCATATTACATTTAAAAAATTAAAATTACATTAAAAAAAAGATTTTAGACAATTATATGGGAAACCGATTTCTTGATAGAAAACTGATTTTATCATTATTTTTCCTCATTCAAACCAAACAATTTTTGTTTAAAATATTTTTCGCTTTGACGCGTATTTCTAGGAATAATAATCATCTATTACTTATTAAGTCCTGTATAAGTATCTATGTGTAGATATGTATTTATGTGTGTATATGATTATTGTATATACACGTATTAAAATGTAAGCATGTATTCCGGTAAATAAGAATGAATTAAAATGTAAGCATGTGTTCTAGTAAACGAAAATAGACTAAAAGAACTGACTTTATTTCTCCAGATGCGTATTTTAAATAACAAAAACTGTTTTTAAATTCAATAAAATTCAATTGGATGAAAAAACTACATTTCCTACACAAAATGTTGAAAAGAGTACTTACGAGGGACGGAAAAAAAACTGATTTTATTTTGAGATTGAAGGGTATAGAAATGTGTGTGTGTTTCATTTAGTGTAATAAATAAAATAAAAATTCATTTGGATTTAAAAGAATCTATTTCAACGAATGCATACTTTTGAAAATCTGAATCTATTTCTATTTCAATTCATTCCTGTTTTCTCATACGCCTACATACTCATTGTAGGTAAAAGAAGGCATCAAATTATATCTAAATTTGATAAACATTCAAATTTTGTATCTTTAGAACTTCATTTGATTATCTTTTGAATATCTGCGGCAATGGAGACATTATTACTGCTTTGATTACGTCGTAACTCAAAATGAATTGAGTCATTTGATTTAGTCGAAGTTATTTCTTTATGCCAAATGTGTGACCCTAACAAATTTTACACATTATTCTAATTAAATTTATTACACATATCTCTCTCTCTATTTATTAAAGAGTCGATTTAAAGTGGATTCTGAAGAACAATACAATATTTTGTAGGTTTTTAGTAACCATGTTCTATTGTTATTAAAAATAAAAGAAGTACATGCATATTTTACTTTCAATTTTTATGTTAAAATTGTATTAATACTCAATCTTCTTATTCTAGAGTTTATATATTTACTTATATAGTCAATAATTAATTATATAGTCAATACCCTACGAGTTTCCAGATAGCAATTAACGTGTCTGTCTTGTTGCTGGCTGAATACATTACATCGTTAACCCAGACAACAAAAATCGATATATAATAAGTCATAAAAATCGAGTTATAAAATATCTTTTTAAAAAATATTTTTAATTTTAAGACATATTATATGTCCTTTTTGGACACGCATGTTGTCTGTGAAATGTATTGCTACGAGAATTTCAGTAATTGAATTCGCAACTCTGTTAGCAACTTGTAAACAAAAAAAATCTTAAAATCGTCATCATCAAAATTTGTATCATTGCCGTTTATATTGTCATAGTATAATATGCAGAATATATAACGCTATGTTTTATTGCCGATAATACAAAGTAATGTGATGCAACTATTTTGCTATTAAACTGTTGACAACTCATATACACGTTATTATGGCCAACATATTGGTGCAATAATGTCGGAATATATTCGAAATCGTTGAAGACAAATATATGATATATGTTGTTTCGTGAAGATGCGGATCCCACGGCCCGAGGATCGACATGGCTGACTGTGATTCGCCTTGGATCTTGGCTCACTTAGACTCATCATTATAGAATTAATTTCGAAATTGATATAAAAAGGCTAAAATCACGGTTGCGTAGAGGCTAGCAGAGAAGAGGTTTCTTTAAATTAAACAAAATGCATTGGAATAATCCAAATAAATGGAAGTTTAAATTAAGAATGTATGATTATTTTCATTAAAACTATAAAATGTTTTTGACTAAACAAATATGTTTAATTAAAAATTAAATTTGTTTTAGTGAGAAACAAATATTAATAGAACTCACGAGTTCAAATTCCTTTTTCTTTGTGCTTTTCAAGTTATAGCGAGTTACATCGAGCCATGTCGAGTCGTGGAACTCCACTTTAAACAATCACAGATTTGTACGATTATGTTGAGACACGCTTTGCTATCTGGGTTATATCATTTAGTTTTACAAATATAAAAAATAAGAAGCGTTTAGCATAATCTATATAAATTATTTGTCATAAGAATATAAATTAATTCTACCAAATGATATACACTCGTAGAGCAAGTTTAACAACCATCTGACAAATACTGCATTCTGTTACATTTTGTGCACATTTTTCACATGCCATTAAATGTCTACACGGCAAGAATAATACTTCCAGGTCTTTCTCAAAGCAAATTTTACAAAAACTTTTATCGTCGACGGATCCTTTTAATTTTGTTAAGTTTAAAAACCTTTTGACGATATTCTTATATGAACTTTTATTGTCGACGGATACTTTTAAATCGGTTAAGTTTAAAAAGCTTTTGGCAACATCCTCACATAGTTTCTGAAATTCTTCAAACAATTTGATTGGAGGTGGGATACTTTTCTAAAAAATAAAACATTTTATGATTGATTATTATTATATTATTTCATTTAGAACACCTAATATTTCATATTTTTTAAAATTTATTATGAATCTTTTAGATTCAATAAAAATATTCATTACAAATATATAATTTGTATAATTTTAATGACAATAAATATATTTTATTAAATGCTTACATGAATTAAACACACATAAGGACAATATCTGTAAAATTTGATATGTTCTATTAAAGGATCATAGTTTGGCTCCCACGCCAGTAATCCTCCACCGCACTGATAGCACATTACTACATCGTATGTTCCCGTATAAAACAAACCAGCAACTGCCATTTTTTCTATATTATTATGTATGTTTGTTAGAGGCCAGTTGGCAAAAGATTTTAATCTGGCAACATAACTCTTATATTCTGGATATATCGGTAGCGGGATTATTGCTTGATCTTCATTGTTCAAACGAATCTCAAGTGTAGCTTCCGGTACAAATATCGTAATTGCTTTAGGATTCGTATCGATCGGTACATTACCACACTGGATATTCTGAACAAATCTACAAGTTTTTGCACATCGTTGGTGCACATTCTTCGGACTGCCTCCTGCCGCATTCCACTGACTAACTTCTATATGACATTCGAAGCATCTGACGACGTCGCTCGTGCCTGTATAGTAGAATCCAGCCGCGGCGAAATCTGTTGGCTCTATCCATAGACAAGGATAAGGCCAGTCTATGAAGCTGATCAAACGTTCAGACTCATATCGATAAACGGACATATTTATATGATATTAAATAAAATCAAATTTTTCGCTGTAAGGAAAAAAATGTCAGATGGAAATTTTATATTAATTATACCTCATGCATATCAATTATTTCAGTCTCTCTGTTTCTCTCTCTCTCTCTCTCTCTCTCTCTCTCTCTCTCTCTCTCTCTCT